TTTCTCTTTCATGTTTTACTTACGCAGAACTTCGGTTATATAACCGGAAGTGATGCTTTACTGAAAGTAAGTTTCATATTTCATGTTTTAAAATTTCTTTTCTCGTCTCATGTTTATAGTTTATGTTTATTTTAAAACTGATCTCGATTTGGGTATTCTTGCTTTTGGTTTTATAGAGAAAATCTGTGATTCGCATCACAACTGGAAGCCAGGCCCTTGATGAGCTCTTAGGCGGTAAGCGCTTTTATTTTAAGGGAGATATATTATATAGTGATATTTTAGAGTTGTCTGAAAATGATGTTATTAATAAACTTTTGAAGGAGGAATCGAAACTTCGGCTATCACAGAAGCTTTTGGAGAATTTAGGTAAGAACAATAACTAGTTTACCATTTTCTTCTTTATAGATATTAAATACTAATATCGTTTCCTGCTGGTTTATCCATACCCTAAGCATTTTTAACTTGTCCGCTAATCTATAATGTTGATTTAGGTCTGGCAAAACACAACTGGCACATACTCTATGCGTTTCTACACAGGTTTTTTATCTCACCTCTGTGATTCATGATTTAACCTGATATATTTGTTAATTCCTAGAAAATGGGGTTAAGAGAAAGAAACAAAGACTAGAGCTGACCTTATGCTGTGTTTACAGCTTCCTACAAGCATGCGAGGAGGAAATGGGAAAGTTGCTTATATTGATACTGAAGGAACTTTGTATCCTTTTTTGTTCTTAGGACGATACGAAAAGTGTTTATATGCACAAAGTTCTTTTGTATTTTAGTTTCTCGTCTGAGACGTATCTTAGAACAGGGTGTTTTCAAAGTGTTTCCTATTAGATTCACTTTATTTGTTTTCTTTTAACTACATACACTTGCAGCCGGCCTGATAGAGTTATACCAATAGCGGAAAGATTTGGGATGGATCCAGGAGCTGTTCTTGACAATGTAAGAGCATCAATATCCTATGTATCATCAATTGAATTGTACCAATAGGTTATTTCAAACATATTTCTTATTTTCTATTTATGTCAAAGATTGTTTATGCACGAGCGTACACATATGAGCATCAATACAATCTGCTTCTGGGCTTGGCAGCAAAAATGTCTGAAGAACCATTTAGACTTCTGGTGAGGCTAGTCGAAAACATCATTTGATAACGCCTGACATCATGGAGACTCCGTTTGATGATGTTTGCTTGAATTTTCAGATTGTGGATTCTGTTATTGCTCTATTTCGAGTAGATTTCACAGGGAGAGGAGAACTTGCCGAGCGCCAGGTTTTAGTCGGAAAGGCTTGTTACAACTTATATTATGTATGTTTGAGATTATCTCCTCTTTCATCAACTAAACCTTTTCCATTGGCAGCAAAAATTGGCTCAGATGCTCTCCAGGTTAATAAAGATAGCTGAAGAATTCAACGTTGCAGTCTACATGACCAACCAAGGTACGTATTCGAATCAATCCAGTTTACCTCTTTACTACAAGTGTCAGCGAATTTCTATTGAACTTTTACCAGCTGGGGGAAAACTAGAAGTTCAAGGCTAAACTATGTTAATATGATGTTTTTACTGCAGTTATTGCCGACCCCGGCGGCGGAGTGTTTATATCAGATCCAAAGAAACCAGCCGGTGGGCATGTGCTAGCCCATGCAGCCACAATAAGGTTGATGTTCAGGAAAGGCAAAGGTGAACAGCGCGTGTGCAAGGTGTTCGATGCTCCAAATTTGCCGGAAGCTGAAGCAATATCCTTCGATTGTTACTTTTTTAGTTTGACTTTTTCAGATGGCCTCAAATCGCTTAATCCGTTATGGTCCGTAAGGTCGTGTAATGGCCGCATCGTAATCTTTTTTATGATCACCCGAAACTGCAAATGCATCCGCAATTTAAAATTTTAGTTATTTTTAAAAAATAAATCACGTCATAACGTCTATAACATCCGCAATTGACTGCAATCGCAATTGTATCAGATTGCTGCAGATATTTGTTCTGGTTACCTCCTAAACGGAAACACGTGTTTCAGATAACACCAGGGGGTATTGCAGATGCAAAAGACTAGGCTCAGAGGTGTTGATAGACCAACAATGGCAGCAGCTACACTCAGACAGGTCAAACTAATATACCAACATCTTTTCTATAACTATGGAAACAAACATGCGGTTTTCTGTTTAATTGAGTGTGTTTATAGTCCTTACTCTTCGAGCTTAAGTTGTAGAAAATATGCTTTGCCTTCATTCCTTTATTTCTTACGTATGGTAAGTTCTTTTATATGGGCAGACAAGATTCACTGAAAGGGAAATGCAGAACACGAACTATAAAGCTTATATATTTGATGGCATGCTTAAAATAGGGATGGGTATCGGACTCGACCCAATCGGGTCAGGTTTTTTTTTAAAAATTGGGTTCAATTCGAGTCGGGTCGGGTCAGATTCAGGTTTAGGGTGAAAAATATCCGATCCGACTCAAAAAAAATTACCTTATATATTTAGAGATAATTATAATAATATCCCTCCTTATATATATAATTTTTTCAATTAAATTCATCTTTTTATTGAATAAAAATAAATATTTTTAATAAATATATTATTTCAGGTCGAATTGGATCGGAGTTCGGATTTTATTTCAAAAAATCTAGTTGGATTCTAGTCGAAGATGTAATCGGATTGATCGAAACCTAACCCAAACCTCAACCGCGTCCATCCCTATCATAAAAGGGATTATGTTGCTACAAAATCCGTTAATATTTGAAACCTATTCGAGGTATGAACAAATCTAATAAGTAGTAGAAATCTATCTTTTTAATTATACGAATCAAACGTAAATGAATCATACAGCATCGCCGTCATTAATATAAAAAATGGTGGACCAAGCTGATTAGTTTAAAGCGAAAACAAACAAAGGTTGGTGGATGAATTTTTAGTGGGGCCGATTAACTACATCCCATTGGTCAATAAGTTTGGATTAATTTTTATTTTGGTCAGAAACTTTCAAAAGTTACACGTTAATCACAAAGTTATCGATAATCACAAAATTACATTTTGACCAAAAAGTTACATGTTGGTCAATTTAAGACAAATTTCTTATCAACCCGCGATAATCTTGCATCATGATAATGTGATTTCCGACACTAATGTTACACTGTGCGAACCAAATGTTCTATTAAGATGATTATTTGATAAAATAGTGATGGAGGCATTCTCTCCACAAGCAACTCGAATCTATTGTTTTGGGGAGTATTCGAAACTACTTGATATAAAATACTTGATTCGTTAACCCACCAACTGGTGAGTATTTCTCCTCTGTTTTTTTCTTCTTGAGTTAGGTACCTGAGTCGCTAATTATCACGAGTTTATAGGTCGAACCATGGGCTGCAATATCTGACTTGATGGGTACTAAAAAAACCCAGCTTTTTATTTCTTTTAATTTTCTTAGAATAGATTTCTCATTGTCAGTTCCTAAATTATTTCATCATAATATTATAAATTCTTAATTTTTCAAAAAATATTACTCTAACCTTCTAAATTATTTATTTTTAAGCATTATGTAATTTAAATTTTTAAATTTTATATATGGGTTATATATCATGGACTTTTAAACTTTTTATTTTCTATGTAAGTTTTTCTAAAAATAATATGATCAGAGTATATAAGTATCCGAATAACGGGTATCCAATATTCATTGAAACACAGACTGCATTTCTATTTTCTACTACCAGGAAAATCGATTACTCGAAACCGCATGTTCCCGCTAAAAAACACCCTTAATTATCATTTGTAACTTATTGTGTTTTTGTTACGAACTCTGAATTTAATTTCAATCCTATTTAGAGTGAGGACTCTAGTGAAAGAAACGAGATTGTTCCTCGTGGATGTAAATGGCGCACGTTACTGGAGTTCTTTGGGCGTACGTTAGATGGGCTAATGGGCGTTGAGATTCCATCGCAGTTCTTCGTTTTTCTTCATAATATTTAAATAAAAAATTTATCACAATATATGAAAAAGTATGGACCACCATGTTTATGTTGTTTGTTGCATATCCAAACAGTTTAGTTCAAGTTTTATTAAACTTGAATTGAATTTTTGTTCATTCATTCTATGTTTTCACATATTAAATGAATCAACAATGAAATTAAATTTTAACTTTTAAATTAAATTTATAAATTAATTTATTGGAAACTTGAATAAGATATTGATTATATGAATCAATTCAACTCACAAATAATTTTTGAAAAGGAAAAAAATTGTTCATGTTGTCACCTATTAAGTGGTCTTAGTTAAAAAGGTGTTTTATTTTTTTAAGATTATAAGTTCGAGTAGTTACTTCTATAAAATATGTGAACGTTGTTAATTAATTAAAAAAATTAAACGTATACTATTTAAGTAACAATTTAATATTAACAAACCAAACAATTATACAATCCAATTCCAAAAAGGCATCATTTGGAACTTCACTTCATTTTCAAACATCTACAACAAGAATCTGACCCAAATCTTTTGATCCACTTAGCCTAACCCACATTATAATAACAAATAATGTTACAATCATAGCCCCACAATGTACAATAATACCCTAAATCCAAGAGCCAAAGGTCCAAACTTTAAAATCAAAAGACAAAGTGAAAGCTTTAGTTCACATGAATATATATATATATATATATATATATAAAGCAAAATGGGATCCCTTTCTTTCTCTTTTTGACCATCCCCAGTCCAAAGGTACTCCAAAATTTCATTCCCACAACAGTTAAAAGAACAAGCCACTTGGAAAATCACATGGATTTGGGATACTTTGATCCAAAACAACTCTACTTTAAACTTTTTTTAGCTAGAAAATGAATAAAAAGAGAACAAAATGCTCACAAATCCATTCTTTTCTCTTTAATTTTCAACTTCTTTTACAATATTTAAACACCCAAATATCTCATTTGAGACCCTAAAATGCCTAAACCCCTCCAAATATGTATACCCCCTCTCTGTTGTCAAGCTTTTTCAAACCCCAAACTTTATTTTCAAACCCTATTCCTGGTGTTTTTCTCGGCAGCAATGGAGAGCAACCTTGACACACCTAGGGTCCATATATCATACTCTCTCTGGCTCTTGCACTCGAACTCGACCACGCCGCGCATCACCGTCTTCAACCCAAAGTATCTCCGGTTCTCCCCGCCCTCTAGCAAGTGCCGTCCGGGCCATGCCGGCATATCTTTAATCACCTCCAACACCACATCTGCCCAAAGAAAAAAAAGAGGATTGTAATGTGAAAGACAATCCCTTTTGATCCTTTTACTTTAGGGACACTCTTTTCCTTTTCTCAAATCCCCAAAATAGGAACAAAGGATTCATATTATTAGAGAAAGACAAAGGCAATCAATCACTTACTCTTTTTCTTTTTCGTTATGGTCCCAGCTATATGTCTGCTCTTCATCTTTAGCATAACCTTAACAAAAAGAAGTTTCAAAAGAGTTAATAAAAAGAGAACGATCACACGGATTTACGTGAAAAATTACGATAATATTACACGAAGAACACCTGATTCATTCTGTTTATGTAAACGGAGACGATTTTCCAGTGAAGATCACCTGTGACATTCGCAAACAATGTTGTTAACTCGAGTTTGGACATATTTGGAGAATCATCTTATGTTCGTATCTTAATATGTTTCGGGTTACCTTTACGGGTGCGCTTGAGAAGCTCGCAGCCTCGAGCAAGCAATTCCCTGCTGCAGATCCCCAGGAAATTCTCTTCCGGTGGAAGCTCACCACTAAAGCTGCCATTAGAGCTACCGTGGTTGCTGCCGTTGCTGCCATTTTTATTATTATCAACGGGGATTACAGCTGCTATGTTCCATACTTCCTTCAACGCCCTTGCCTTTAGAGTGGCTGCCCCTCGTAATGCTGCGCCAAAGTTACGGATTTTATGATAGGGGTTCGAAATTAAATTAAAACTTTTCGAGAAATGATATATGAATGATGTACCTGTTGCTGCACCAGCGGTTAAGGTCATGATGTCGCCAGCAGACCGGACGTTGACGGCAGAGCTGATGGCGTAGGCCAAATGGTCGCGTTCAGCTCCCATAGCTTCTGCAGCCTCCACGCATTGTGCAGCAACGAGGGTGGCAGCCGATGCCACGGCCATGTCCGTCTTCGCCATCTGCTCGTCTTTGCCGGCACACGAGGAGGCTGCAGTGGCAGCCGCAATAGCTGCCACGGCCGCGGCAACTCCCGCCACGGAAATGGCGGCATGTAGCTGAGCGTTATGAGCACGCGTCTCTTCCTTTTTCTTCTCCCTCCTATCCTTCAGCCAACGCCCCACCGTCTTCCCACCGCCCGTCACGGCGGTCGTAGCGGGAGTAGCTGCCGTGCCAGTACGGTACTGCATGCCGAGGGAATTATTGGCACGGCAAAATTGCTGCAAAAGGTAAAGGTAAACCGAATAACCGGTCCTTATCCATGAATCTTAATATTATAACAATTATTATCTATTATTTATTATTAACCACCGCCATTAAAGAAAGCTTTTTCAGCTTTAGTGAACGGCAACGAATCGTTTTGGGGACAACGCGCCCTGACTCATAACCAAAAGAACATTGAAGATTTTCGGACAGAAACAAAAAACAAACGAAGGGCAACATTGGCAATCCAAAAAGTAAAAGTACTAATATCCATTGATAAAGGAAGCAGCTTTGGTTACAGAGAAAGCCTGAGATTTATGTTTCTGATTCAGTGTCTCAGAAGCTAAACCCATGCTCTGTTCTCTTGCCTCAAAATTGTCGACAAAAAAAACAGACACTTATCAACAAAATTCTGATTCCTTTAAAGTAAATTAAAAAACCATTAACAAACCTTAACATCATCAATGTCCGAAGGTGAAACTGGTGGGCTATCGGTTAATGGTCCACTGCTATGAGATAACCTCCCTGATGTTCTCGGAGATACTTCTTGCTGTTAAGACAGAACAGACAAACAACAGAAGCAAAGAGAAGAGATTTTTAAAAGGCAAAACATGGAACAAAGTCCATAAATGTCTCTATAAATGAACAAAACAACAAACCCATGTTTTTGTTTCTGGAAGGGAAACAACAAAAAGAAAAAGAAAACCTTAAAATGAAAATTTCTTACCGATTGCGACATGATTCTCTCGAGGACCATTTGGGAAGTTTCAGAGGAAGCGAAGGAGAAAGGGTTGCCGGAAACGATGCCGTTTTCTTCGAGCTTCTGCTCGCCGGCGATGTCTTCTTGTATGACGACGTTACCACTGGAAGAGCCTTTTAAGAACATTTGATGGGCAGATGAGGGATGAGGAGGAGGAGGAGCTAAAGCCCTTGAAACTTCCAAAGCCGAAACACTCCATGAACGTGATAAGAACTCCATTGGTTCGAGCGGCGTCTCCGGTGGCCTGAACGTTGCCGGCATCGGGAGCAGCTCCGGTCGCCATTGTTCAACTTTTGGCTTCTCCATTTGTTTTGGCTTTCCTTTGTGGTGAGAGATGAAAGAGGTGTGTTTATATAGAGTGACAGTGTTAACAAGGAATGAAATGATCGTACTTTTTTTTATTTCTTTAATCAGGGATGTTAAATGTGTAATTCTAGGAAGGGGTAAAGGGTAAAATTGTCAATATGGCTATAATTTGGATTGGGTGTCACGTGCTGGATGACGAGGTACAGTGTGGTGAAATCAGCGAATGATCATTCAAGAACAATGAGTAATTCTTGGGGGTCATGTTTGTCATTTTCCTTTGCACTATTTAAATACATTTTTATTATTTTAAATTAAATTATACTATTGATCTTTTCGTTTATGTTTTATATATTTTTTCTCATTGAAATATAATTTTTAGTCATTTTTATTTTTATTTAATTAAAATATGAACACTGAGGGTCAATTATCGTTATATCTATAACATTGATGTGGCACGTTAAATTTATAAAATTAAAAAAGGTAAATTATACATATAGTCATTAATGTTTGAATAAATTTTTCATTTTCTCTATTGAAGATTCAAAAGTAATAAATTGATCACTAAAACATCAAATAGATCATTGAACAATGATTTTATATCTAATTCTAAAAAATTGGTCACCAAAACATCAAATATGTTCTGGAACAATAATTTTATATCTAATTTATTCTAAAAGCTTTTGGGGTATATTAGATATAAAATCATTGTTAAAGGACATATTTGATGTTTAGTGACCAATTTGTTACTTTCCAAACTTCAGTGGGGAAATAAAAATTTACTCAAACATTAGTGAGCATTTTTATAATTTGCCCTTTTTAATTTATAATTTCAGTGTGCCACGTAGCAATCTGTCAAAGGTCTAACGACAATTAACTCTTAATGATCATGTCTTAATTAAATAAAAGTCAAAGTGATAAATATTTAATTAAATAAAAATGAAAGTGACAAAATATTATATTTTTTAATTCAGTGAGAAAAATATACAAAATTTAAATGAAAGTGATCAATCTTGTAGTTTACCCTTTATTTAATATATGGGTAAACTACATATTTAGTCACTCAACTATCATTTTGGTTCCGTTTTGGTTATCTAACATTTTTTAAATCATACATAACATTACATTTTGGTTATGTTTTGTCTCATGTCGTTAAAAAAATAAACAAGACTCCAATCATAGCATTTTTTTCAATGTTGACTTGGCATTACCTTATGGTGACACATCATCGTTATCGTTAATTTTTTAACGGTATGTAATCTAAATGGAACTAAAACCTAATTTTAAGTGTGATTTAAAAAATAATAATAGTTGAATGATCAAAATAGAACCAAAGTGATAATTGAGTGACTAAATATGTAATTTACCCTTTATATATGTGAAAATCGAAGTTACACATTCTTTAGTGATATGTGATTTTTTTTAACGAAAACAAAATGAGATAATATGTTTCACAAAAAAAATTAAGATAAAAAAATACTAAAGTGACAATAAGATAAAAAATTTATGGTCAAAATATTATTTAACCCTTAATTTAAATTAGATAATGTTTACAAATGGACCCTAATCTCTTAATATTTGTTATTTAATGTCATCTTAATTTTTATTATTTTGAAGTGAGTGAAATTAAATTAGCTGACCCTATTCATATATGTAATTGGTAGGGGTGTGCAAAATTACCCGACCCGGTTGACTCGACCCGTCGACCCGAATCTAAAAAAACGGGTAATTCTCTAAAAAAATTACCCGGCCGGGTCGGGTACCCGGCCCGACATTTCCCGAGTCACAAAATCTAGCTTTTCCGGGTACCCGATTACCCGAGTACCCGGTTAGTTTTTATTTTTTTTTTATTTTTTATATATAATTATATAAAATATAATGAATTATTTATATTATGGATTATTATATTTTGTATTTCGAACTTTTAAATTTTATGTTCGGATATTAGAGTATGTAATTCAAAGTTTCGAACATTTAAATTTGTGTATATATTTTTTAAATTAATAATTTGAAAATAAAAAATTAAAAATCGGGTATCGGGTACCCGATTACCGGGTACCCATAACATCCGGGTCGGGACACGGGCCGAGAAATCGTCGACTCGGAAGTTCCAGGTACCCGAATTTGCACACCCCTCGTAATGGAGTAAGGGGGAGATAGGGTAGTAGGCTGCCCCCAACGTCAGGCTGAGAGCAACTTCCGTGAAAGACCTCCGTTATGAATTGCCCTCAAATTCTTATAAAGGTATCTAAAACTATTTAAAACAATTTTAAATATATAAAAAATGATGCCAAAGATATTGATTGAGATTTTATTAGATGATGTTTTTAAATAATATTTCAAGTTATGAGTTAAATGATTTTTGTTGTTAATCTTATTTAATCAAATCGATTATGTGTAACAGTTTTATTTAATTATTTATAATACTAAAATTTAGATGTGGTAAACATGTCATTCGAATCGGGTTTAGATCAAGTCATTTTGGGTCGGGTCATTTCAGGTATAGATTATATTCAGTTTAATTTTATTCAAGTCGGGTCTTATCTGGTTCGGATTTAGTTCGGGAGTTTGATAAATCGGGTCGGGTTGGGTATCGAGTTGGGTCAGTTTTCGGGTCGATGATTATCGAAACAATTGTTTTTTGGTTTGGATCAATATAATATCAGTTAACTTTTAGGTCGATTTAATATGGTTAGATTTTGAGTTGGGACAATATCACTACAGCAAAATTGTACATTTGCGGCGTTTTTTTTACCTAAAGCGGCATTTTTAAGCGTCGCAAAAAACACATGCGGCGCTATGAAAAACGCCGCAAAAAGTGCCGCTGAAAATAGCGCCGCTAAAGTTCGTGGCGTTTGGTAACAAAAAACGCCGCAACAGGTAACGATATATAGCGGCGTTTGTCCAACAAACGCCGCAATAGGTGTTGATATTTAGCGGCGTTTTTTCAACAAACGCCACAATAGGTGTTGAGATTTAGCGGCGTTTTTTCCACAAACGCCGCAATAGGTATTGAGATTTAGCAGCGTTTTTTACACAAACACCGCAATATGTCTTGAGATTTTGCGGCATTTTTCCCACAAACGCCGCAAAGGATCTGGTATATAGCTGCGTTTTTTAGAACAAACGCCACAAAAGGTTATATCTATAATGGCGTTTTAAGATACAAACGCCGCTAATTACCTCTCTATAGCTAAGAGAAATTGATTTTGCAAATTAAAACTAATTTGTCAAATGTTGTTTTCTACTCTTTTATTACCCAAATTTAACCTGTAACATTTTCCAATAAACTTGACATCTATACCAACAAACTTAAAATACATAACAAGAAAATTAAAATCCATAATAATAAATCAAAGTTTACATTAACGTAAAATATAATGTAGTTCAACATTATTAACTATAATAAACAATAATATCTAAGATATTTTGCTTCTAATCTTACACATTCTTCACTACTCTTCGTCACAATGAGGCGCTTAAATTCAAAGAGATAAATCCAGTTTATATGGGAAAACAATGATGCAGAGCTAGTATCGTCCTGTCATTTCTTGCACATATATTTTGCTTCATGAGGTCTTACTCCAATTGGCATGCCACTTGAAAAGGCCTCATCCATGGCAATGCAAACCCGATCTCTAGTTTCATATCCAAATAAATCATCAGTTTATATGAAAATCCATTATATCTTACGTTAAAAAAGTTAACAACACATTTCTGCATGGTCAGTCCCAGCAGTCAACAACTCTATGGCATGTGCAACCATCATGATGATAAGCAAAATATAGAGATAGATCTTAATAATTATGCAGAAACATCCAAGCTTGAATTTCATGATAACTTCTAACAGCTTATCATACCAAACATATTTTAAATCAATAGCACCCAAAAAAGGCTCCAAAAATGCATTCCTAACAAACAGAAAGATATAAACATAGAAATATGACAGCTTACTAAGGACCAAATCCTTTCAAGCATTCTACTAAAACAACCTGAGAACAGATAAAAGCACAATCTAACTTAAAGACAAGGAAGCAAAAAGAGAATTTAACGGAGATTGTAAATTAATATTTTATCCCCATTTGTTACCTCAGTATTTTCCCCAAGAATTTCAATTATAAGCCCCATCAACTTATGTGCATAGGCCATTGGTTTCAATTGAATGCTTTTTTGTGCCAAACTGTACATGCTTTCTAACCCCTAGCAGAAGAAAATAAATAAACGAGATATGTAATACAAGGAAAATACATACCACTGTGAATGGTCTGATGTATAACAAGTGAGAAATATACAATTCTATCCAATGGCATATTGCAAAGCAGAGACTATTAGCATTACCCAACATTATTTGTAACATACTTTTCAAACCCTCATGAGTCTGGTGGTGAGCACACTGAAACCAGAACACCTTCAGAAAAGTGAATAGGTGAAAAGCTTGACGGATGAAAATGCAAACAAGATATGGAACTACTTAGTTGAAACAACAAAAAACAGAACTAGCATAATAACAACAATCGTTTCCAAGTTAAAACACATTTTGGTCAAATAACTGAACAAAGACTTGCACGAACCTCTTAACTATTAAAATGTTTCAATGAAACTAAAGGTAAATAGAGCTACATATTTTGGATGCAATGCATAATAATTAATCTCTTACCAACCTCGCGATTGCTGAGTTGATCTAATTGATAAGATCTATGCAAGCGCAATATTTTAACCTGCATGTGAAAATATAAAACTGCATCCAATCATAAAATTCCACTAAAAAATAACCTAACATGCTTTCATAATTTTATTAAGCTATAAAACCACATTAGTCTTTCAGACACATACCACGATATCTAGCCAACCCACAACAAGTGCTGATGACATAACTTCCCAGTATTTGGGATTATTCTCCACAACCTACATTCAATAAACTGATTAAATAACACTATCTTAAATGAATACAGAAGATTACAAATCAGTCAAACAACTCACAAGCTTAAACTCTAGAACTGTGT